GTCTCTCTCTCTCTCTCTCTGTGTGTGTGTGTGTGTGTGTGTGTGTGTGTGTGTGTGGATTTGGCTGCAGGGGAGTCTACAACTTGATGAATCTGATACTTACCCTTGTGTGGGTGATGATTTTCATGTTAAGGGGAAAACTCAGGACCTGACATAAAGCACATAGTCTTGTGGTTTGGAGCAGGGGCAGAAAAGGCTTTGGTAGTTCTTTTTTGCAGGGACATCCCAGGAATTACTCAACTCCGCACACTTCTACTCTTCCAGGTTTGTGAATATAGATGATTTCTGATGGTATGATTTGTGTTTGCACACTCTCTAGTTGTTCCTGAATGAAACAGTCATGAGGCAATATCTCTACAGTAAAATGAGATTGATGACTATCTAAATGACATCATAGAGCCTTATCCAGTAGCTGATGGAAGCAGAAGCAGAGATTCACAGCCAAGCACTGAGCAGAACTCCTGGAATCCAGTTTTAGAGATGGAGGAGTGATGAACAAAGTGGTCAAGACCATGCGGGGAAAACGCACAGAAACACCTGCCCTGACAAGTTTGAGTTCAGAGACCCCAGCTGACAGCTAGGGAAGCAGAATAGGACCAATTCAGGCAGCCTGAAATTGGGTTCAGTTGGGGGCCTTGGGCAGTCTATGGGACTTCTTGCCGTCGAAACAGTAATTGTCTCTAGTGCACAAATATTCTTTGGGAGACCATTCACTATGGAGGGATGCTCTTTCAATATAGATAGGGGAGGACCTAGGTCCTGTCCTAAATGATGTGACAGACTTAGATTATCCCCCAATGGAAGCCTCGTCTTCCCTGGGGTGTTGATGGGGGATTGATGCTGAACATGGTAGGATGGGAGGGAAAGGACAGGCAGATTGGTTTGTAAAACAAGATTGTGTTTAATACATAAAAATGTATTTTCAAACATTTTCAATGATGAAATGTCAAAAGGAATAAAATCCTGGTATGATATATATTCATGTATGTATACTACCTGACTTTTAAAAAGAGTTAACCCTGATATTTCTCCAACTATTCAATAAGGGAGAATTAAAGACACACTTTCTAATATCTTCTACAAAGGCTGAAGGAGCCTTTTGCCAGACCTGTTGATATCAGTTTTCCTTCCATGATACCATATGTAGAAAAAAAAAATCACTGACATGCAATGCTCAGTTTTCCTCTAACTTCCCGAAAGTTGTGTTGTGCACAGACAGATAAACAACTCTGAGCAAAATAAACAGAACAAATTACCCTAACTGTAAAATAAACAGAGACTATAAATCAACAGTTTATGTACCTGGACATGATAATTCTTATAGAAATCACTTGAAACATTCAGCAATTTCAACAGAACATAAACAAGGTCATCTTAATACCTAAGATGAGTTCATGACTGAACAACAAAGGGACAGATCCAATAGGAAAAATTCCAGATGAGCATAACAATGTAAGGTTCTAGGCAATAGAGGCACAGGCTTTAATATCAGCACTCAGGAGGCAGAGACAGGCAGATCTCTATAAATTCTAAGCCTTAATGTTTTACAGAGTAAGTTTTACAGCCTAGGAAAGGCTCCAAAGCACATAGAGAAACACTGTCTCAAAAAATACACAAAACAAACAAACTAACTAAAAAATGTAAATATAGTGTAAAAAACCCTAACCCTCAAGAGTGTAATTAAATTATTTTCCAGAAAACAGTTACTAATGAAGATAACTGAGTTATGAGTGACATGCCAGACTCAAAATAGAAAATTTGAGGGAATATGCTTGGAGGTGGTGATGAATGCTTTTCTCCCAGTTGTTGGAAGGCAGAGGCAGGCAGTTTTCCGTGGGTTTGAGGAAGGCCTGGGCTAAATAAAGAGCAAACGCCAGGACAAGCTTGAAGGCTACAAAAAGAAACCCGGTCTCAAAAAAAAAAAATAGGGAATATTAGATTGGACACTGGATCAAGGAATAGAATTTCAATCACTCTGGGATGGTCCACAATATTCTGAGAAGAGGCCTGGTTGTCTCAGCAACCAGACTCTTTAGAAAAAAGGGAAAGAGAACTGGGTGGTTTCAAATCCAGGCTCGGATTCCTGATTAGTCAGCCAATAGGAAAAATGTCCAGTGGCCCAATCCACACTACAAAGTGTTTATGACAAAGAGAGCATTCTGGGTCCCATGAAAACAAAATAGTCCTGGAAGACAGCAGCCAATGAGGCTGTACCTGGTGTTGCTTGAGTTGAACAGAAAATCCTCTTCCAAATTCACGGCTTTGAGCACTGTGGGTGCACACTGCCTCGGGCACTGGTGTCAGCGAAGTGAACGCTTTGCCTTCACTTGCAATACTGGCGCCATCTGTCTCTTGACCACCTAGCTCGTGCAGCTTGTGCACCCTGAGCTGAAACCTGATTGGTGAGAGGTACTTAATTGAGCCAGTCAGATTGAGATGCCAATCCGGGCACCCTCATTGGCCAGGCAAACGCACAAGACTTGTGGCTGCTCTAAGGTGAACTGTCAAGTGCCCACCACGTGGACAACAGATGGGGGTCCGGTGACAGCAGGCTTAGAGAAGAAGGCTTTGCTTGTTTTGTGACTTTTGTGCACAGCCCAGCCAGTAGGCATCTATCTGTCCACACTACTTCCCTAACAGGGTCTCATTTATGTCCTGAAATTAGACTTGATTTCTGAAGGTCTTTTTTTGTTTGAACAGTTTCTAGTCTGTTCGGAATAAAACGTCATCAGGCAATATCTATGAACTGGTGACTTGTGATCACCCATGAATGGAACATCAACAGGACCGCATTAATTTTTGCCTTTAAAAATTTACTAATTGTCAGAATGAAAAAATCCAGTTTCTGATTGAATCTCAAGACCATCAATGCATGCTGAACTTTCTTTGGAGACCCATCTCTAATTTAATCCAAGTGCTTAGGTCTGTGTTCACCCCTTTATTTGTCAACACGAAAACTACATCATTAGCTAGTCATGGCTTAATTTGCCTACACTGATCATCAATACTCTGAAATTAAAACAATACAAAACCTAACCAAAACAAAACATTATGTTGCTCATTAAATTTCTCCTTCCTCTCACTGATTTTGTGGTGGGTCATTCTAATTCAAAATTTCTACTTCTCTGTTGTAGAAACTTCCAAAATTTATTCTATTTGTATGTTGTGTTCTTCTTTAGGAGAACACTGTCAATCACTTGGTGAAATAGTCCTCAAAGTCCTGGGTGCAGTTTTTACATTTCCCGAGTATTCCTGCCTAACCTGCTAGTTCTTTGAAGATTAGTTGGTTTTTCTGTGTTTTTTTTAAAAACTTCACACATAAATACTACATCTAGTTTCTTGTGCCACCTTCCTTCCTGCTTGTGCCTCAGCTTATCCCATGTAAGCCCCAAACATGAACCCTTTAATTAATAAAATGCATGCATATGTGTGGTTTGGTGCTCATACATAGACACATGTATTTCTCACCTACTGAGTACGTTTAGTTTGTTCATTTGTATGGGAATGCAGAAGAGACCACTGGGGACTGAACAAGCTAAGGGGGAACCTGTCCCTGGAGGAAACTGATTCTCCCTGTCCTCTCAGGTATTGATAACCTGTAACACTTCTGGTAGTGTTCCGTAATGAATTGACCCTGATTTCATTTTCATGTGAACTGATGAGTTCATAATTTTCTTGCATTTGTAACCACCTTATTGAGAGGCAGAACTAACCTATCCCATAAAACACATAATTGCACTTTTAGGGGTCTAGCTTTAGCATGGCATAGTCACTTCTCTGCATTTTGATCAGTTGTGGGTCTGTGTAAAAGTCTGGTATTTTAAAAGGAAGGTGCTTTGATGAGGGTCAGCTGCTGTATTTATCTCTGTGTACAAGGATATACATTTGGGATACAGTTAGATATCACACTGGTTTAAGAAAATGGAAGTAGCAGTTTTCTTCTACTCACTAGTCCATGACCACTCCTGCCAAGTTTTGTTCTCTAAGTTTACAATGCCAAACATGTTTTCCTTTAGATAGATATGTAATGAGAACAGAAACTTCTAATTAAATGTAGGGTTTTCATTTTTTCCTGCCATGAGCTAAGCACATTTACAATTGAAGATGGATGGATACTTCTTTCTATTTCTCACTGGTAAGAAATAAGAGTAGAACACCATCCTGGGCACATGAGACATTTCCAAACAACAATAAAAGGAGGAAGAGCCAGAGCTTGTTACTGAGCACACAAGCAGCCATGTGTTCAATTCTGAGGAAGGCATTCATCAGGGTTAGTAGTTCATGACTGTATTCCAAGCACTCATGGGATTTAGAAGGAACAGAAGTTCAAGGTCCTCTTTGGCTACATAGAGAGTTTGGGGTCAGCCTGATCTACATGAAACACTGTCTCTAAATAAATGTACTTATGCAAATAAGTAAACTCTTGGAGGGTGGCTGATCAGTGGCCATATGACTACTCTTATCTGATGTGTCAAGGCAGGGGAATGACACCGGTCCAACCTTCCACGAATGAGATACCAGCTTAGATTTCACAACATCCAGGAGTGGGAATAGCTAGATAGTGGTGCATTAAGCAAGGCTTTCTGGTGGTGATTGATGGTTTCTGCATGCACAGTCATTTTGCAGCCACCTAAACCATGCACAATGTAGACATGCAACCTTTGACAGCTGTAGGTAAAGGGTAATCACCCATCAAAATGGATCCAGGGTCTAAAAGGTAGCATTGATAAAAGCTAACCTGATGCAGGGAGAAGGCAGAGAATTAGAGAGGACCCACAACCAGGAAAGGTTCCCAAAGGAGAAGGCACAGTTCCTGGTGTGGGCTGACAGGGAGTGACAGGCTGGTGGGAGAAGGCACAGGCCCCAGAAAGGGTTGGATCAGAGTGGGTGCTGAGGGGAAGCCACCAGGCAGAAGATGTAGAGGAGTTGGGATTAGGAACAGGGTTAGGTTCCCCATATATTAGTGGTAACAATTTCTTTCCATCTGGTTTTGTCATGGAATATCTTGTATTCTCCATTTACAGTGATTGAAAACTTTGCTGGCTATAGTACTCTGGGCTTTATTAAACAATGGTCATCTTTAAAAATGAAATCCATATGTTCTAGGCTGAGAGTATTGTTTCCTAGGGAATGGGTTTCCAAAGATCATTCATGCACCAGGAATAAATATTGGTTACACTGCCAGTTGCCCATAGACTGCCCAGGCCTCTCTACTGACACCCATATTCAGTGCCCCTGCTTCAGGCTTAGGAAGACCCCTATCTTTTTTTGTATTCTTTTGCTCTAGAGAAAAGGCTACCAAAATGGACTGATAACTGGCTTGTATTTTTTATTGGGTCTTTACCTCTAGGGTAGGGGATAATTAGCAGCAGTTGAATCCTGCTATATGTGGGGTTTGGGCTATGCAATGGAAAATACCTAAAATACTTGAAAGCAATAGATATAACAATGTATTCTGTGATGGTTTTTTTTAAAGAAGAAGCGAGCAGAATCCTGATATATGAACACATATATTTTGCCTATGCAAGAGAAAATAACTTGTAGAAACAGACATAGCGATGTGTTGTGTGAGGCTTTTAGTTACAGAGGAGCTGGCCGCACCTGCATTTGCTTACCAGAGTGTGACTTTGGTTGAATAGAAGGATATCTAGCAGTAAGTAACTGACAACTCAATCTGAATGACACAGTGGCAGAGAGACAGAGAGTGTAATTTTCATGGACATTTATACCTACAAGGAACAGAAAACTTTCTCTCTCTCTCTCTCTCTCTCTCTCTCTCTCTCTCTCTCTCTCTCTCTCTCTCTCTGTGTGTGTGTGTGTGTGTGTTGTGTGTGTGTGTCTCTGTGTGTGTCTGTGTGTGTGTGTGTGTGTGTATGTGGTGTATTTGTGTGTGTTCCTCCAGTGCCCATGGTGCTTTAGTTGTTAGTTAGGTGTAATCTCAAAGGACCTGTCATCTCCCATGTGTGTATATGCATATTTGTATCAGTGGCTATAGAAGAGGGAATTTTGAGCAGTATCTGACTCCAAACACTGCATGAGGAGGTTGTGGTTGTAAGGCTGTGGACACATTGAAGAATCTGACTCCTTGCGGTATGTAGAGAGATTTGGTTTTAAGGTAATGGAAATGTACCAGGACCTTGCATCATGATCTGCTGTGAGTGTATGGTTGGGGGAATTTGCCTATTGGTGATGGCTCACTTACTAGACCCAACACACACATTTCTCTCTCTTGCCCTCATGTGCATTTGTTTCTACCTCTCATTGGTCTCCCTCTCTTTCCTCCTCCCTCCCACTCTACCTCCCCTTTGTGTTGACTATTCAGGGTTTGGAACTCAACAGGCCCTGTTATCTGTTTGTGTGTGTGTGAATTTTGCTGTAGGGGAGGATACAACTTGATGAATCTGATTCTCGTTTGTGTGTGTGTGTGTGTGTGTGTGTGTGTGTGTGTGTGTGTGAGACCTTGCATTTGAAGGGTAAAAGTCAGGGCCTGAAATACATCATATGGTCCTGTGTTTATATGCAGGGACAGAGAAGTCTTTGGTTGTTCTGTGCTGTTTGTGCAGGGACATCCCATGACGTAAACATCTCCTCACACTTCTTCTCTTCAAGGGTCGTTAAAATAGATGGTTTTTGAAGGACTGATTTGTGTCTGCAGAGTATCTAGTCTGTCCTGAGTGAAAGGGTCATCAGGCATTGTCTCCACAGTATAGTGAGATTGATGACTATCTTAAATGCCATCATAGAGCCTGCATCCAGTAGCAGGTGGAAGCAGAAGCAGAGATTGACTGCCAAGCACTGAGTTGAGCTCCTGGAATCCAGTTGTAGAGATGGAGGATTGATGAGCAAAGGAGTCAAGACCATACTAGGGAAACCCACAGAAAGAGCTGGCATGACAAGTTGTAGTTCAGAGACCCATTCTGACAGCTTCGCAATCAAAATAGGACCAAACAAGGCCCCATGAAGGTGGGTTATAACTGGGGTCTTTAAGCGGCCTATGGGACTTCTGGCAGTGACATATCTATTTAATCCCTAGTGTGCAATTGGTCTTTGGGAGTACCTTCCATATAGAAGGATACCCTCTAAAGATAGATACATGGGGTGGACCAAGATCCTTTCCCAAATGATGTGACAGAGTTAGATTATCCCCCAATGGAGGACGCACCCTCACTAATAAGTCTCCAACTATTCAATAAGGTAGAAGGAAAGAAACACTTTTCAATATCTTCTACAAAGAATGTAGGTGTTTTCTTCCAGACCTTCCATGAATGACATGCCAGCTTAGGAGTGTGAATTACTGGATAGTGTTCTCACAACCAGGAAAGGTTCCGTCAGGAGCAATCACAGGCCCAGGAGAGGCCTTTCAGGGAATGACAGGCAGGTTGGAAAAGGAACAGGCCCTTTTCAATGATGAAATGTCAAAAGGAGTAAAAGACTGGTATGATATATTCTTTTATGCATTCTACCTGACTTCAGAAAAAGAGGACACTAATATTTCTCCAACTATTCAATAAGGGAGAATTAAGGAGACAATTTACATTATTTTCTCCAAAGCCTGTAGGAGACTTCTGCCAGACTGGTGACATGAGCTTTCCTTCCTTAAAACCATATGTCAGGGAAGATAAAGAAGACACTGACATCCAACCCTCAGTTTTCCTCTGACTTCAGGAAGGTGTGTTGTACACAGACAGATAAATATTAGGATCAGGGTTAGGGTTAGGGTTTGGGTTAGCATAAGGGTTAGTGTTAGGTTAGCGTTTGGTTTAGAGTTTGCATTAGGGTTTAAGTTTAGGGTTAGGGTTATGGTTATTATTAGGATTGGGGTTATTGTTAGGGGTAGCATTAGGGCAAGGGTTAGCGTTAGGTTTAGGGTTAGAGTTAGGGTTTGCGGTAGGTTTAGAGTTAGGGTTAGGGTTATCATTAGTGTTACAGTTAGGTTTAGTGTTAGGTTTAGTGTTAGGATTAGTTTTAGGGTTAGGGTTTGCGTTAAAGTTACGGTTACGGTTAGGTTTAGGGTTAGGGTTATGGTCAGGGTTAGGGTTAGAGTTTGTGTAAGGGTTGGGGTTAGCATTAGGGTTAGTGTTAGGGTTAAGTTTAGCGTTAGGGTTAGGGTGAGGATATGGGTTAGCATTAGGGTTAGCGCTAGGACTTTGGTTAGGATTAGGGCCAGCTTTAGGGTTAGGTTTAGGGTTAGGGTTAGTGTTAGGGATAGGGTTAGCGTTAGGGTTAGGGTTAGGTTTAGAGTTACAGTTAGGGTTAGCTTTAGGGTTAGGGTTTGGGTTAGGGTTAGGGTTGGCGTTAAGGTTATGGATAAGGTTAGGGTTAGCGTTAGTGTTAGCGTTAGGATTAAGGTTAGGGTTAGGTATAGGGTTAGCGTTAGGGTCAGGGTTAAGGTTAGGGTTAAGGGTTAGTATTAGCGTTAGTGTTAGGGTTAGAGTTAGGGTTTGGGTTAGGGTTAGGGTTGGCGTTAAGGTTATGGATAAGGTTAGGGTTAGCATTAGTGTTAGCGTTAGGATTAAGGTTAGGTTTAGGGTTAGCATTAGGGTTAGGGATAAGGTTATTGTTTCGGTTAGGGTTAGGGTTAGCGTAATATTTTCATTAGGTTTTAGGTTAGGGTTATGGTTAAGGTTAGGGTTAGGTTTAGCATTAGGGATGGGGTTAGGGTTAGAGTTAGGTTTAGTGTTAGGATTAGGGTTAGGGTGAGGGTTTTTGTTAGGGTTAGGCGTCGGGTTAGGGTTAGGATTAGCGTTGGGTTTAGGTATAGGGTTAGAGTTAGGGTTAGGATTAGGTTAGTGTTAGGTTTAGGGTTAAAGTTATTTTTGGGTTAGGGTTAGAGTTTGTGTAAGGGTTGGAGTTAGCGTTAGGGTTAGTGTTAGGGTTAAGTTTAGCATTAGGGTTAGGGTGAGATAAGGGTTAGCGTTAGGATTAATGCTAGGATTTTGGTTAGGATTAGGGTTAGCATAGGTTTAAGGTTAGGGTTAGGTTAGGGTTAGCGTTAGCGTTAGGGATAGGGTTAGGGTTTGGGTTAGGGTTATGGTTAGGGTTAATGTTAGTGTTATGTTTAATGTTAGGGTCAGGGTTAGCGTTAGGGATAGGGTTACCGTTAGGATTTGCTTTAGGGTGAGGTTTAGGGTTAGAGTTATTGTTACATTTCAGGTTAGGGTTAGGGCTTGTGTAAGTTTTGGGGTTAGGGTTAAGGTTAGTGTTAGGGTTAGGGTTAGCTTAAGGTTTAGGAAGATGGTTAGAGTTAGGCTTAGGGTTGGCGTTAGCATTGGGGTTAGAGTTAGCATTAGGTTTAGGGTTAGAGTTAGGGTTAGGGTTAAGTTTAGGGTTAGGGTTATGGTTAGGGTTTGGGTTAGGGTTTGGGTTAGGTTAGGTTTAGGTTTAGGTTATAGTTAGGGTTTGGGGTAGGGTTAGGCTAAGCGTTAGGGTTAGGGTAGGGATAGGGTAAGGGATATCGTTAGGATTAGGGTTAGGGTCACGGTTAGGGATTGGTTTAGGGTTAGGGTTAGGATTATTGTTATGATTAGGGTTAGAGTTAGGGCTGTGGTTTTCTTTAGGTTTAAGTTTAGTGTTTGGGTTATGGTTAGGTTTAGGCTTAGGGTTAAGGTTAGCGTTAGGGTTAGACTTAGTGTTAGGGTTATGGTTAGGTTTAGTCTTATGGTTAGGGTTAGAATTAATGTTAGGGTTAGGGTTAGGTTTAATGTTAGGTTTAGGGTAGGGTTAGGGTTAGGGTTAGGCTTTTCTTTAGGGTGAAGGTTAGGGTTAGGTTTAGTATTATGGCTAGGGTTAGGGTTAGGTTTAAGTTTAGGGTTAGGTTTTCAGTTAGTGTTATGGTTAGGGTTTGGGTTAGGGTTAGTTTTAGGGTTAGGGTTAAGGTTAGGGTTAGGGTTATGTTTAGGGTTGTGTTTAGCATTAGGGTTAGAGTTAGGGTTAGTGTTAAGGTTAGAGTTAGGTTTAGGGTTATGGTTAGGATTAGGGATAGGGGTTAGGTTTAGAGTTAGAGCTAGGGTTTGGGTTAGGGTTAGTTTTATGGTTAGGTTTAATGTTAGGGTTAGTGTTAGTTTTAGGGTTATTGTTAGGTTTATGGCTAGGGTTAGAGTTAGGGTTAGCGTTAGGGTTATGGTGAGGGTTAGCATTAGGGTTCGGGTTAAGGTTAGGGTTATGGCTAGTGTTAGGGTTAGGTTTATGGTTAGGTTTTAGTTTAGGTTTAGAGAGAGGGTTAGTGTTAGGTTTAGAGTTAGGGTTAGCATGAGGGTTATGATTAGGGTTAGGGTTGGGGTAGGGTTAGTGTTAGGGTTATGGATAGGGTTAGTTTTATGTTTAGGGTTAGTATTAGGGTTAGGCTTAGGGTTAATGCTAGGTTTAAGGTTAGGGTTAGGGTTTGTGTAAGTGGTTGGTTTAGGGTTAGGGTAGATGTTAAGTTTGTGGTTAGGGTTTGAATCAGGGTTATGCTTAGGGTTAGCGTTAGCGTTAGTGTTAGAGTTAGGGTTATTGTTATGGTTAAGGGTAGGGATAGTGTTAGGGTTTTCGTTAGGGTTAGGGTTTGGTTTAGGGTTAGGGTTTCATTTAGTGTCAGGTTTAGGGTTAGAGTTATGGTTAAGGGTAGGGATAGTGTTAGGGTTTTCGTTAGGGTTAGGGTTTGGTTTAGGGTTTGGTTTAGGGTTAGGGTTTCATTTAGTGTCAGGTTTCGGGTTAGAGTTATGGTTAGGGTTAGCATTAGTGATAGGGCTATGTTTAGGGTTAGAGTTAGATTTAGAGTTAGGGTTAGGTTTAGGGTTATGGTTAGGGTTAGGGTTTGGATTAGGGTTAGGTTTAGGTTTAGTGTTAGAGTTAGGGTTAGGGTTAGCGTTAGATTTAGGTTTAGGGTTAGTGTTAGGTTTAGGTTTAGGGTTTAGGTTAGGGTTAGGGTTAATGTTATTTTTAGGGTTACGGTTAGGTTTAGGTTTAGCGTTAGGTATAGGGTTTGTGTTAGCCTTAGTGTTAGGGTTAGGGTTAGGGTTTGCCAGAGTGTTACTGTTAGTGTTATATTTAGGGTTAGGGTTAGGTTTATGGTTAGGGTTAGCGTTAGGTTAGGGGTAGAGTTAGGTTTAGGGTTAGGGTTAGCGTTAGGCTTAGTGTTAGGTTTAGTTTTAAGGTCAGGTTTAGGCTTAGGTTTAATGTTTAGGTTAGAGTTAGGGATAGGGTTACTGTTACATTTAGCGTTAGTGTTAGGGTTAGGGTTAGCATTAGGGTTAGGGTTAAGGTTATTTTTACAGTTAGAGTTAGCATTAGGGTTAGGGTTTTTCTTAGGGTTGGGTTAGGGTTATAGTTAGGATTTGGGTTAGGTTTAGTGTTAGGATTTGGGTTAGGGTTAGAGTTAGGGTCAGTGTTAGTGTTATAGTTAAGCTTAGGGTTAGCATTGTGTTAGAGATAGGTTGGGGTTAGGGTTAGCATTAGGGTTAGGGTTCAGATTAGAGTTATGTTTTGGGTTAGGGTTAGTTTTAGGGTTAGGGTTAGTGTTAGTGTTAGGGTTAGGTTTAGAATTAGGTTTAGGTTTAGGGTTAGCGTTTGTGTTAGGGTTAGGTTTATGGTTTGTTTTAGGGTTAGTGTTAGGTGTAGGGTTAGGCTTAGGGGTATGGTTAGCTTTAGGGTTATGTCTAGGGTTAGGGTTTTCGTTAGGGTTAGTGTTATTGTTAGAGTTTGGGTTAGCGTTAGGGATAGGTTTAGGGTTAGAGATAATCTAAGGTTTAGGTTTAGGGTTAGGCTTATGGTTAGGATTGGGATTAAGGTTAGTGTTTGGGTTAGGTTTAAAGTTATGTTTGGTTTGGTGTTAGGTTTGTGTAAGGTTTGGGGTTCGGGTTAGCATTAGGGTTAGGGTTAGTTTTAGGGATAGGGTTAGCTTTTGGATTAGCATTATGGTTTTTGGTTAGTGTTAGGTTCAGGGTTAGAGTTAGGGTAGATTAGAATTAGGGTTAGGGTTAGGGATAGGTTTAGTGGTAGGGATCGGGTTAAAGTTAGGTTTAGGGTTTTCATTACTCTTAGGGTTAGCATTATTGTTAGGTTTAGGGTTAGCCTTAAGTTTATGGTTAGGTTTAGTGTTAGGGTTAGCATTAAGGTTAGGGTTATGGTTTGGTTTAGGGTCAGCTTTAGGGTTAGGGTTAGGGTTAGGGTTAGGGTAGGGTTAGTGTTGTATTAGGGTTAGGGTTAGGGTTAGTTTAGGGTTATTGTTGTGGTTAGGTTTAGTGTTAGGGTTAGGGTTAGGGTTAGGGTTAGGGTTAAGGGGCCTTTGTGGTTAACATATGAAAACAGAGACCAGTCTTGAAAAATTCAGTCTTAGTTATGTTATAGGAAGAGACTTTGGAGGGAAGAAAGTAACCCTTCAAAGTTGTCTTGAGGTCAGAGATAGACTATGTCTCCTTGTGTTAGAAGGTTCAGCTATGTAGTTCCAGAGGGACTGGCAGCAGTGTGGTGCCCACAAATATATCCATTGCTGTATGACAAGATGCCCTCACTAAAGGGGAATGTAATTGACCAGAGGCATCTAAACAAGAAAATTCCTTATCATAGCAAACAAGACGCTATTGTTGTAATATCCTTGTCCTTTTTGCTTAACACATCAACAGTGGTTATTTTACCTCCAAACAGGCATATCTAAAGCTTAAACCTTGTAAAATTATAGAATTCTTAGAAAAAATTAAGCAATCAATCATGGTAGCAATCACATGACTGAGAATTTATTACCTTGGTCTGACCAGAGGCTTATTCTTCATTAAAAAACAAACAAACAAACAAACAAACAAAAAACCCTGGGTAGATTTCTCTATGATGACCTGAGAAAATCCATTGCCCTTCTTCCATGGATGAAAGGTTACATTACTATGAAGTAACCTATTAATTGGGGAAATATTTCTTTTTAACATAAATATACTTAGTGAAAATATGAGTTCTCTACTTGAAACTCAGCAGTGAAGAATTGCTATCATGATGCTCTTGAAGACCAGAAGAACTGGAAATATGATCTCCACTCAGCAGGAAATTTCCAGGAAATGTGGAACCTTTCAGTATCAAATCTGTATGTAACAAGGGTGCATCTCTGAGACCTCCTCCTTCTCTAAGATGCCGGTGCTGATATTCTATCTCCCAGGTTGCTATTTACTTTGTCTTGTCTTGGGGAAGGCTTCAGTATTCATTTGTAGTCATTAGCTGGGCCTTTGGCACTGTCTCCATAACTACCCAACATAAAACTTGAAGTCTTTGTGATGATATATTATTTATGATTTAATAACACCAGCAGAGATCAAAATGCAAAACTAGCAACAGACATAAAGACAGGCAGTGGTGATTAAAAAAAATATCCTTTAATCACAGTAGGCATAATAGTCACCATAGAGGCTAAGTGGTACACACCTTTAATCCCTTGACTTGGGAGACAAAGGTGATCTCAGCACTTGGGATCACACACCTTTAATCTTAGCAATAGGGAGGTGGAGACGGGAATGATACGGCTGAGTGGAGAGAGGATGTAAGGTTGTGGGAGACAGGAACTCAGAAGAATTGCAGTTACAGTCTGAGGCTTGGTGAAGAACAGTGCAGTTTGCATTGTATTCTGAGGATTCATGGAGACAGGATCACCCATTTTCATCTGAGGTAAAGGCAAGAGCTAGAGGCCTTACTGCTTTGCTTTTCTGATCTTCAGCTCAAACTCCAATATCTGTCTCTGGTTTTATATTATTCATGCTTTAAGTCTTAGCTAGATAAGTAAGATAATTGAAAGAGATCAAGGGGATAGAAATAGGAAGAGAAAATGTCAAAGTATCTTTATGATATAATGGTATACATGAGTGACTCTAAATATTTCTAAAAGGAAACACCTACAGCTAATAAACGCCTCCAGCAAAGTAGCAGTATAAAAAATTAATACACAAAAATAAGCACCATTCACTTATGTAAATGAATAACAAATTAGAAAGAAACTAGGTAAATTACACCTTTCACAATAGCTTCAAAAGTGTAGACTATATTAGGATATCTCCAACCAAGCAAGTGAAAGATTTATATGGCAAAAACTTTAAAATTTGAAGAAAGATACTAAAGAATATATCAGAAGATGGAAAGATCTCCAATGTTCATGGACCTCTAGGATTTAATATAGCCATCCTACCCAAAGCAATCTACAGAGTCAATGCTATTCCCATCAAAATTCCAACATAATTCTTCACAGAACAAAGAAGAACTTTCAGATGCTTATGAAAACAAACAATTCAGTAGAGATATAACAGTCCTGAATAATAAAAGAATTGCTGATGGCGTCTCCATTGTAAATTTCAAGTTGTACTAAAGAGCTATAGTAGTAGAAAATCCATGGTTTTGACACAAAAGCAGACACATTGATCAATAGAATCATATTGAAGACCAGAAATAAGTCCATGCACTCACAGAAATGTGACGTGGGTAAAGGCCTCCTTTCTAGTATCGACTCCTCTGATTAATTTCAAAATTCTAAATTCAAAAATTTTGTATTTTCACTAAGTATTTTTATGTTATAAAGAAATATTTCTCCAATTAAAAGGTTACTTCATAGTAATGTATCCTTTCATCCATGGAATAGATGGCAATGGATTTTCTCAGGTCATTGTAGAGAGTTCTATCCAGGGTTTTATTGTTTGTTTTTTTGTTTTTTCATGAAGAATAAGCCTCTGGTCAGACCAAGGTAATAAATTCTCAGTCATGTGATTGCTACCATGGTTGATTGCTTAATTTTTTTCTAAGAATTCTATATTTTTACAAGGTTTAAGCTTTAGATATGCCTTTTTTGAGGTAAAATAACCACTGTTAATGTGTTAAGCAAAAAGGACAAGGACATTACAACCATAGTGTCTTGTTTGCGGTGAAAAGGAATTTTCTTGTTTAGATGCCTCTGGTCACTTACATTACCCTTCAGTGAGGGCATCTTGTCATGCTGCTATGGATATATTTGTGGGCACCACACTGCTGCCAGTCCCTCTGGAACTATTTAGCTGAACCTTCTAACACAAGGAGACATAGTCTATGTCTGAACTCAAGACAACTTTGAAGGGTTATTTTGCCTCCAAATGTTTCTTCCTATAACATAGCTAAGACTGCATGTTTCCAAGCCTGGTCTGTCTTTGTTTTCATATGTTAACCCCAAATGCCCCTTAACAATTCTCTTGTATGCTACTCTTTGAAGGTCTGCTAGAAAACAGTCTGGAGTACTGTACACACACACACACACACACACACACACACACACACACACACACTCACACACACACACATACACACACACACACACTCACAGAGAGAGAGAGGGGGGTACAGAGAAAGAAAGTGTATCTTGCATAAAGCAATGTGTTCATAAATATGTAGATTACTTAATAGCATTTGATGAGACATTGCATTCATGGCTAAGTATAGGGGTACAAGAATGTCATAATAGAAATAAATGTTTGGATTTGTAGGTGACAAAGCTTATTACAGGTCAAATCTTAAATAGTCCTGTTACTTTTTAACTAACTAAAATGTAATTTCCTTTAAGAAAGAAAACATTACTTCTAATCTAAGGCAGAATGTTTGCCCCTTATGGGAAATTCTGTAAAATATATTTCAATATGAGATGAAAGGAGTATGTCTCAGAAAGATTTTGAATTTTTTTTAGAAGAATGGAGTTACCACCTCCATTCTAACTATCCTTTCTGTCTTACACAGATGTGATGTTTGGAGCAAGAGCACCTACCAATCCCTGCTAGAGAGAAGGAGAAGAACAAGACTGAAGATCAGGGGCTCTGCCCTGAAGTTGCTGTTACTAATCCTTTTTTAAAAAGCACCATTCTAATCCCAGAATTCCTTTCATGCATAGAAAAATAATTAGTTTTGCTCAAAATACAGCATCATTGAATTAATATGTAGTCAAAGAACTGGCTTTCTTGATTTCATGGTTTCATGATTCCTTTTAGGAAATAAGAAAAGCTATATTTTGTCACGAAATTTTAAAAAATCTGAATTGCTTTTGGTTTATTTTGTTTCATTAAAGACATTAGAATATCAAATTTAAAATAAAAGGTGGACAGCAGGAGAGAACTAATCTTTTAGATTCTTGTGGATTTGGAATAACTAAAGTGAAGGAAGGAAAACAGGGTACCAGGGACCAGGGTTCTCATTTATACTTATCTTGGTAAGGTGCTATAAATGTCTCCAAGACAACCTGGGAGAAAAGAATATGAGAAAGCTCTAAGTATCTAAGAAATACCCATTCTCCTGGTCTTGTAAAAATTCCTCATTTGTTGGAGCTTGAACTGTTGAGAGAATAATTGGATAATTAGATAAGCTTGTAAACAAATTAAAAACTTTTCTCACAGAAAATAAGTAAATATTTTAACAGGAGGAGAATTTCTCCTATGGCATTTTCTTAGGAATCCCATGATTTAAGGTTCCTTCCTTTCAGCCAACAAGTCTAGTATCCTGGAATATGTGTATCTAGCCATCTTCCTTTGTCACCTGGTTTTAATGACTTATATTCTTGACCTTGTTAGTAAAGTTTGTCATTGAGAAAGATAAGCAGTTTGGCTGTAATTTGGATTTGACAATTTGAGCCTTCATTTCAGATCATATGTAAAACACTCAAAATTTTCTCTATGATCCATAAGGAGAACACAAATGTACTAAGACAGCAAAAGACTAGCAAAGATCTTACTGTAAAAAGCAAGCCACCATGTTCAAAGAAACTATATTCAGATCTATGTTGGTGACTTCTGTGTGATTCAGTAATTCCAACAGAATAAAACCTATAAGAGAAGGAGGATTTTAAAACTGTGCCCTGTGTATATCCAATATATTGCTGCTTACACTTTATTTTCACCAAATATGTTGAATATGTCACAAATAAATACACAAATAAATCATGTTTTAAACACTGTGTTAGCAGCTGGGCATTGGTGGCACATGCCTTTAGTTCCAGCACTCGGGAGGCAGAGGCAGGCAGATCTCTGTGAGTTCGAGGCCAGCCTGGTCTCCAGAGTGAGTGCTAGAATAGGCTCCAAAGCTACACAGAGAAACCCTGTCTTGAAAAACCATAAAAACCAAAACAAAACAAAACAAAAAACCTCTGTGTTAGCATCATGCCCTTTTGTTTGACTGCCTCAGATATATACACAAGGTTTGTATTCATTTGTATTTGCATCTAGAAAGTGTCAAGGTTTGAGTAGTAGGAGATATGTAACCATAACCAAGTAACAGGAGGATAATGAGAAATGTCATAGAATTAACAAAAGCTTCTTAGCCTCCTGAAGAAATCTGTGTGTAAGAGATCTTACATATCCATGAACTGACTCCCTCCCCTAGGAAGTATAGTCCTACCTACATGTTCCCTCCCATAATGTCCTCAAATGAAATGCTCTCTTCAGGGTCTAGGTAGGCTACTACTATGCTGTCATCTCACATGGGCATGTTGGACTGTCAGTGTCTCCATCTTAAGTACATGTGTTGTCAGATGGCTTCTCCCAGGCACCATTGAACATAGTACTAAAGCTGAAAGTACCTTGTAGTCTGTCTTTAGACCCCTGGACTTTCCTGCCAAAGAAATGGACTATCAGTTAGATGCATCTAGATTTTCTCCTGGTAAAATTTTGAATCCCAGTGTATAATTCTATAATCCTGGTTTTTCTTATATCATTGTCTTTAGTTTGCTAGGTGTTAATGAGGAAAACAGCTGGAAATTGTTGTTATCTTCACTGGGTGTAACATCCTCCTGCTCTCTGGAATGTAATGAGCCTCTGGATGAGACATTCTGTTTCAAGTGATTTGGAATAAGCTTATGATCTACATTTTCTGTGCTTAAAACTAATATTTTTCAAAAGTTAATTTACATTAAAAATATGGACTTTTGGTGTTGATAATGATTATAATGTCACCATGAAGAAATACATGCTCAAAACTCTAACCTGACTACTTTCCTCCTTCCTCTGAGATGTACATATCTAGACTTTACATGAGAATGAACTTTATGTTTGTGACTTGAATTTAAGATGTTATAAGAGAAGATAATTGAAGGCAATGCAAATCAATAATTTAATATTTTCATTTTCTCTATTAATTACAGTAAAAAAAAAGACTATCTCTGCTACTTTCCTTTAGTTTCTACATTTCAATATATGTCTACCTAATACTTCTACATAGCAGTAAAAATGGTGGTTGACATCCATGGTACATTGGCAAGTCAGAGGTCTGAATAATGCAAGAAATGCTGGCCATAATACCCTTAACTTAGATGCATGGGGAAAAGGTTATGTAGGTACAGCAAGTCAATGATAATATGCTTGTCCTCTTTTTTTGTCACAGAAATATCACTGCAAGTCACTGCTCAGTGAGGCATCAAGATAAAGCAACAGGGCTATGTAGGTGAGGGGAATCATTCCATTATGCTTGACAGGAAAGGTTTGTTCTTCTGTCTTTGCTATTACCACATATTTGAGGCAGGGACAGTGAATACTAGAAGAAAAAGGAGCAGTTATAAAGATTGTGGCATGATCCCAATTGATTAAAAGTGGTAAGTCAAGTGTAAATTTTTGAAAAGGGAAAGCAACAAGCTATTTAGTAAAAAAAAAAATCCAATAAAAGAAGGGAATGTATTCTGGGAAATGGGTCTTGACATCAAGACCTTAAGAGGAAATAAAGAAAATAAGGAGGATGAGAAATATAGGAAGATCGAGAAGAATAAAGAGCACCTGATACTGAAGGAAAAGCATGTAATTCAAGATGGGATCATGCAGAGATTAGTAAACTCACTCTGGGCTCTTCTCAGAGATAGCTGGTTGAAGAACTGTGGTGTTGACTTGGTTAATAAGAGTACTTCCTGTGAAATCATGAACTGAAATCCCAGCACCAACACAAAAAGCTGGGTATGTCTTCCCTTGTTTGTAACATGGTAGTGAGGGGCAGAGGCAGGTAAATACAGATATCTTGCTGGTTAGACAGTCTGTCCAAAGCCTTGAGTTTGGGGGTCATTAAGAGACCATTAATGTGGCCTTAAGGCCTTAAGGCCACATTAATGTGGGAAATAGTAAAGAGAAACATTCAAAGTTCCCCAGACTCCTAATGTGCTCATGGACACACACTCACATGCATGCACTGCACACAAATACATCCCTCATACTGAGCATCTGTCACTCAGAAAATGATGGAAGTCTGGAAAGAGCCATCTAGACATTTATTACTTTGCTCATTCAGAAGATGTTTGCCTGAAAACTAGATAACACACCTGCAGGGAGACCTTTGCTGACTGCCTCACAGTGTATCCAGGACACGCAGGATCTGCAAAAGTTAGGAAAATTAACAGCATGAAATAGAAAGCTTAATGCAAACAATGAGAGCAAATAACATGAAAGAGAATGGATAATTTAGGGAACAATGAATAAGAATTCTAATGAGTGCCCTCAGAAAGAGCATGGAGGACACTGAATCTGAAAACAGATCGGGCTTTCATAAGAAGGGAGGAGCCACAGAGCAACAAAGAAAATGGATTGCACAAATTAAAAAGGGAATTTTAATGTTGACGAGGGAGCTGCAATATTAGACTTTAAACCACAATAGACCAAGTTGACAATTTCAAAGTTAAGTCAAGACAATGACCCAGGAATTTTATAAAGCAAGGTGCTTTTCCATCTGTTTTTCAGGAGCATTTTAGAGGACAGCAGAGAAAGAATGAGAGAAAGGAAGATAGAAGGGGAAAGGAAAATCATACTCATTTGAGTGGATTGAGTAAGATAGCCGAGAAAAGACACAGACCCCAAAATGTGACATTCTGAAAGAGGAAGAAAATCTATAACTTACCTATAAAAAGGTAAAGCAAAGTAGATGAACCCAGACATCTCATCTTTCACAATGGGTACTATAAAAAGTAAAGTGTGTGGGTTTTTTTTTTTAATTCTAGGTGTAAATGGGTGGGAAGAACTTAGAATTCATTGCCTCAGCAAATTTTTATTTAAGTGTGAAGAAAAACAAACATAGTCTTAGATACTTGAGATACCGTGCCCAGGCTTCATTTAAAGATCTGCTCAAGTTCTTCATCGTATATGTCAACAGCTGGGAAGACATGTCTGTTAAGAGGCACTCATTAGGGGAGAGATAATGGTTATTAAGACAAATTGCAGTTATTAAAAGAAATTATAGCTTCAAGTTTAAGAGGGCACAAACTTTCAAAATAAACTAGAGACTGTGATCTGGAAGGGAAGCACCATTTTCTCTGGAGATCAAAAGGCAGATAGTTTTCTCCGGACATGAAAAGTAGGTGGATTTCAACAGGGCTCTAGGGAAAAGATGGCATAACCAGGCACAGAGATGGTAACTGAAGTGATATTAGGGAAGGCCAAACATACCAGTCATATTTGAACCTCTGCTGGAAAACCCTGAGAAACCAGGAAAGATGGAGAAAGAGATAGAGTCATAGAAATCAGCATTGCAGTTAGAGTTAAGAAATAGAGTTCTGAATATTCATATCCTAACACCTTTTGCTTTGCTATTTTGTTGTGTGAGAAGGTCGTGCTGTGCAGTCAGGTTAACCTAAAAGTTGCAGCTGCTTCAGCCCAACTCCTACCCTAAATGCTGGTGGCACATCCTAATACATTTATAAAACTGAAAACAAAGCAAAACTGAATAGGAACCCCAAAGTTTACCTCGTCCTCTATTTCTAAATATAAACCAGTCCTTTTGTGTGTGTGTGTGAAGAGAATATAATTACACCAGCAAATGCTCTTTTTCTGTATTCAATATTTTGTTCTTACAAGTAGTTTACTATGTTGTCTTTGGCTACAGTTCTTGAATCATTTATAGTAGATAGAGAGTTTTCATTGCATCTACCTTGTAATTTATATATTGCTATAGTTTATGGTATATATCCTATTGATTA